TAACTCACATGTGAAGAGAAAACTGATGTTTAAACAATTGCAAAGATTGGAGGCTGATATTGCCTTTTTACAAGAAACCCATTTAAACATATCTCATGTGCTTTCTCTTACGGATAAAATGTATCTTGAACACCCTCCGCAAGCATAACGGAGTGGCAATCTTGATTCATAAACGTTGCAAGTTTAAAGTCTTAAATACTTCACAGGATAGAAAAGGCCATATATATATATATATATATATATATATATATATATATATATATATATAGTATTTTTTTTTAAATTCTTTATTTTTGTTGTGCATGCAATAACAGTAATCCTACTCAGCCACAATAGCCGTCACAGGCAGAATGATAACAGGTATAATAAGCTTGATATGGCATTTGAATAGACAGCACAATTTTTTAGTTATGATGGTATGAAGGTTAGACAGTGGAGAAACATAACATATTATAAGAAACAAGTGTTGTCTTTAGCGTTTGTAGTACAATCTATGTCGATTATGCGTTCAACGATTATAAATGAACAAGCTTAGATAGCCCCACTCCTATAGCACATTCCAAGCAATCCAAATTTTAACGTCAGTATATAAACAGGCTGTAGCATTTTTTAAGTGTCGGCAGGCCCCACTCTCAAGATGATACTGCACTATTATGAACCATGAGTTAATGAGGTAAGAGGCACAGTGATATATCGGTACATATGTACATTTCTAGAGATCTGTAGTAGAAAGAGGAGCATTAGACATTAGATTGTAAAACTAAACATATTGACATATTGCTTACAAGTAGTGTATACTGGTTAACATGCTAATTGACATATTGCTTACAAGTAGTGTAGATTAGTCAACTTGCCAGTAGACACATTGCTTACAAATAGTGTATATGAGTTAGCATGCCAGTTTTATCGAACGATTAACTTGCTTATACATGAGGGTGTGCCACCTCTGAAGACCTCATATTGTGGACATCCATGTTAGGTTGAAGCCATAAGATACAGCAATGTGATGGCTTGCCAATATGAAATATTAAAAGTAAAGATCAAAGGAACTAGATGCAATCAAACTGAAAAACATTTTGGGCATGTTATAATGGGAAACGGCACACTGTGATGGCACATAGATCAGGAGGCTCATTATTGCGGTCATCCTATCCCCATTGTAGGTATAATACAGTCCCACTTAGCGGTGAGTTGCAGGCCTGAAGCTAGAGGTATCAGCTGGGGATCCAGCTTCTGCTCCTCTCTCCACTTGTCTTTCCTTCACATTTTCCACATTCCTATCTTGATGGTAAGCAGCGGGCCATGGACGGGATAGTGAACCTGTTCAGACTGCGTTTTAGGCATGTGGTAGTGCGTCCGGACCTCCGACAGAGTTGTACCCACTTCGGTCTCTCCCTCAGTTGCCGCTTCCACGTATGAGGCGTTCTGCCACGTGAGGTCGGCCACACTTAGAGGAGACCTCCCGCCATCACTGGTAAGTGTGGTGGTGTCTTCCCAGTGCTCCTGGTCTCATCAGTACTGGGTTGCTCTCATAAGTGTGTCTTTGGCGCTGTGTGTGTTTGTGGGCGGTTGCTTATCCGAAGCCAGAATTCCAGGAATAGCTGCTCGAACCTTGCTTCAAATGTTGCTGCCCAGTTCTGGCACTCTGATGTTGATTGCTGTGAGGGCTACAGTTCGGCGGCCGTCTTGAGCTTGCCACACTGTCTCAGAATCAGCTTCTGTCGGCACAGCTGTGAGGTAAGTTCCCCAGCCCAGCAGGGACCGGCATATCCCCCACTGGTCCAGGGGGGTGGGCGAGGGGGATTGCTGCAAGCTGCACAGTCCCAGACGGGAGAGCGGCCGCCTCTCCCAGCCGATGGGTCTGCAGTCTCTTTAGGCCGCGTGACCGGACAATGAATTGCCGCTCCAGGATGAGATTTTTGAGGGTTAAAAATGTCCCCTCCGGGGGGGCGTGGCCGGGACACGGAGCGAGCTGGACGCGTGTGAGTGAAGCTCCGCTCCGACAGCACCGTTTGCAGCTCACATCAGCACGCAAAACTGAGCCAGAATCACTGACATGGAGAAGCGACTCCCTAAGAACCCCCCCAAGCGGGTGGCCGAGCCCGGAGCCACAGTAGCGGATCTCTTTGCCTGCTCCCGCCAAAACCCGACGGGCTCTCAAGATGGCGCCGGGTCTGAAGCTTTCTGGGCACCACACCACCAAATGACACTATGACTAAATGGAGAACTCTTGCTCTTGACCCATTCCACAGCCTAAAGTGCTGCCATTATCAGAGGGCTGGGGAACGCACATTGTCCTTCCAGTATGAGGCAGCGCATATGGCCCCACAGGGGCGTGCGTAGGGTCATATCCAGAGGAACTATGCTCCCAGCAAACAGGCAAGAGCACAGAGGACAAACTATCCCAGCTATAAGCAGGATCACCTAGACACAGACATTCTGCGGACACTCTGTACCTCTTGATGGCCGGACTGACACTTGGGCCCTGCCCACCTTCCTGAGGGGGGATGAGATTTTTTATCCAAAAGGACATGGCTTCGACGCACACCTTGAGGGGGCATACTTACTACCATTTAACACTACCACTACTTTTAGGCAGGATGCCCCCCGATGTGGTACAACAAGCTCATCTAACACTGGAGGGTCTACATAGGAGAGGTCTGACAGCACGGTGGGAGGTATCTGACCCATGGGCACAATGGCGGGTGTCGCACGGGGGGGTGGGGGCAGGGGGACGACTTAGTCGACTCCTTCAGGGTCTGAGAGCCCACACGCTTCATATAACACTATAGGGTGAGGCCCGGACGGGGGGTCTTGAACATGGGGGCTCCACTAGACGGCGGACACAGGGACAGCCTAGATAGTCTGACCCGGCCTTCCTCCCCCTCCGCCCCCCCCCCCATGGTTTGGGACGATGCCCACCCCAGGGGGATGGTGGAGACTCCAGACCTTCACATTAACACTACAAGACTGAAGCTCCCCACATTCACGCTACAAGACGTTGACTGGCCTCCGGGGGCCCCGGTGACACGGGGGAGTACAGGTGTAATGAACTAGCATTGATAGGGATACGCTGTGCTTGAGAGGGGATAGCCTGGTTTTCTCAGTTATGGTTATAAGCGGTGAAGTCACACCCAGTGACATTTATTCACAATTCATCTACCCATGGTTAGGGTGATGAGCTTGGGAATCACACCCCATATTGTTCTGGCTTTGCATAAGACCAGATATTTACTGTTGTTTTATTTTCTCTATGTCTTTACTCTATTCTTTTTCCTTACATTCCTTACCTATTTCTCATCGGGCACCAGAGCCGCAGGGAACCCAGGGATCGAACTTGCACAACCGTCCCGACCAAGGGACTATAGAGGTAGACTGAGACAGCAATCATACCATACGGTTCCATGGTCGTCAAAGTGGTGTCCATGGTCGTCAAAGTGGTGTCCATAAACGTGAAAGGCCTAAATGCCCCCAAAAAGAGGAGGCTGATGTTTAAAGAAGTGAAAAGGATGGGAGCAGATGTCGCCTTCCTTCAGGAGACACACATGGCGAGACACGCGACCATTAAAGTAAGTGATCGCACCTACACTACTACGAACGAAGCTAGGTCCCTACAAAAGAGGAATGGGGTGGCTATACTGATACGTAACACGTGCCCCATTCACGTTTCCAAGGTACACGCAGACCCGGAGGGGAGGTACATTATTCTGACGGGCTCCATACATTCGCACACGATACACATGATAAACATTTATGCCCCAAACACCCCAGACATTGCGTTCTGGAAGGAATTACAAACTAAACTACATGCCCTACCGCAGGGCATAATACTCATGGGGGTGACTTTAATGCTGCACCGTGTCCAGCCGCCGACAGGAGCTCCAGAGCGGGTCAGCTGAGATCCCATGGCAGAGGACGACAAGACAGGGCTCTATATGAATTTATTAAATCAACTGGCCTCCTGGACGTCTGGAGGGCGCAGCACCCTGACGCAGTAGACTATACATTCTATTCGGCCCCGCATGGAACATACTCAAGAATCGATTTCTTCTTGGTAAACGATGCGGGCATGGCCAGAGTGACGGACTCGACCATCGGGTCCATCACGTGGTCAGACCATGCGGAGGTCACGGTGACGCTGGGGAACCTATGCATGGCCTCGCCCTGGAATTGGAAACTAAGCTCCAGCCTACTCCGTGACCGGCAAACACAAGAGACAATTAGACAAGATATACGATTATACTTTGCGGAAAATACGACGGAAGAGGTCACACCTAGCACAGTATGGGCCGCACATAAGGCAGTGATTAGGGGCACATGTATTCGTCTGGCTACCCAAAAGAAAAAGCAGAAAATGCGGCAATTGAACCAACTACTGGAGACGCTTCGACAAGCGGAGCAGAAACACAAAGCGACACCAACTCCCCGCTTAACCGCCGACCTGAAGGATATAAGGAGATCAATTTCTGAACTGTTTGCTGGACGCCGCCGCCCGGGATCTCATATGGTCCAAGAGAAACTTTTACGAAAAAGCTAACAAAACCGACACCCTATTAGCAAGGGTACTAAAGCCTAGACAGAGACGAACTCATATCGGAGCAATGAAGCACACAGATGGCACCATCAAGAATATACCGGCGGGTATTGCCCAGATATTCACGGAATACTATAGAACACTATACAACCACACACCCAAAAATGTAGATCAAATACAAGAGGTGAATGATAAAATGGATACATTTCTGCAGAATATTCAACTACCGAAGCTATCGGCAGACGCGATCCACAGGCTAGACGAAGACATAACCAGCGAAGAAATTGACAGAGCCATAGCAAGCTTAAAGAGCCACAAAGCCCCGGGCCCCGATGGCTTAGACGGAGGATATTATAAGACGTTTCGGGAAGAGCTAACTCCCCACCTCACAAGACTATTTAATCTTATGTCAGGTGGGAACCCAGAGAACGAGATGTCCCTAGCTAACATAATCCTTATCCCCAAACCGGGCAAGGACCCGACGATACCGGCGAGCTACAGGCCCATTTCCCTTATTAATCAAGACGTCAAGATCTTGGCAAAAATACTAGCGGACCGCCTCAATCCCATCCTGAAAACACTGATACATGCAGACCAGGTAGGGTTCATACCAAATCGTCAACTCTTTGAAAATACCAGGAGAAACATAGACATTATATGGAGACAGAAAACGGCCAGGATCCCCACCCTAGTAGTATCCATAGACGCTGAAAAAGCGTTTGATAGAGTAGAATGGCCCTATCTTTTTAATCTCTTAACATATCTAGGCTTCCCGACGAAATACATATATTCCATAAAAGCGATGTATAGCAACGCAACAGCCCAAGTTAAAATCGCAGGCACATGGCCCCAACCCTTTAGATTGGGAAACGGCACTCGCCAGGGCTGTCCGCTTTCCCCCTTGTTGTTTGCAATATCATTAGAGCCCTTACTACAGGCCATAAGGGAACATCCACGGATAAAAGGTGTTAGGGTGGGAGGCCAAGAACTTTTAGTATCTGCATATGCAGATGATGTCCTCCTTACAATAACAGAGCCAAGGGAATCAATGGATGCACTAGCTGAGGTTCTTACACAATATGGAGCCTTCTCGGGGTACAGAGCCAATCTCGACAAATCTAGCGCTCTCCCAGTGGGAGTGTCGGCGGCGGACACGGAGGCAATACGAGCAGCACACAACATCCCCATAGCACGCGGCTACATTAAATATCTAGGAATACACTTGCCAGACAACCCAGCTAATATTTACCACCTAAACTATACCCCCCTCTTTAAGACACTTATATCAGACATGGAAAAATGGATAGACAAGCCTATCTCCTGGATAGGTCGCATAAATGCAGTAAAAATTAATATTCTTCCCCGAATACTATTTCTTTTCCAAGCCCTCCCTATCAAACTCAGTAAAGCTGACCTATCCCCACTACAACAAGCAATTGGAAAATTCATTTGGCAAAACAAGAGACATAGGATTTCGAGAAACATCCTATTTCGACATAAACAAAGGGGGGGACTGGGCCTCCCACACTTATATTATTATTATCTTGCAGCCCAACTCGCACAGATAGCGATGTGACACGCCCCGTTAGATGTGAGGAGATGGGTGGACTTGGAGTCCCTACTCACGGGAGCGGATTTACCCCAATATCACATATGGGTCCCACGAGAACATAGAATTATGCTACGAACGACCTGCCCAGCGATTTTTAAACTCCCTGAGGATATGGGACGCCACAGCAAACAAATACAATTTAATCTCCAATCCGTCACCACTGATCCCTCTGCTCAGAAATAGAGCCTTCCCTCCGGGTATGGTGGCCAGGGATTTTGCCAACCTAGAAACTGCAGGCCTAAAGAGGATCTGCCACATGTATAGGGACAATACGCCAGTCACATTTAACGACCTACAACAGACTACACACCTCACCCCCGTGGACTTCTTTAGATTCTTACAACTTAGGGACTACATGAAAGATCCATACTTACAAAACGCAGCCAGAGGGCACATGTCCTTCTTTGAAAACATGTGCCTCCGCGAAACGACACAACCAGGTTTGATATCAAAACTATATGCACATCTTAGCTCTGAAACAAAAGAATGGTGCACGCTCACCTACACTGAAGCATGGGAAAGGGAATTGGGAGAGGAACTCGAGGGCACAGACTGGAGGGAAATTTGGGAGGCCAACGCCTCAGTGTCCATGTGTGTCTCCCTCCAGGAACAGGCAACTAAAACGCTCCTCAGGTGGTATGTCACACCAGTAACATTGCACCGAATGGGGAAAACCCCGTCGAACGACTGCTGGAGGGGGTGTGGCCTGAAAGGTACATACCTCCATGTGGTGGGAATGTCCCCGGCTCCATGGCTTCTGGAGGGAGACCCAGACTCTCATAAAACGCATTTTCCACAGAGCACCAGACCTGAACCCATGGACATTTCTCCTCAATAGACCCTTAGATAATTGGACACGTAGAGAGCAAAAACTCCTACATAAGGTGACGCTGGCAGCACGGAGAGCTCTGGCGCAAGCATGGTTGAAGGTAGAAACACCTCCCCCGAGTGCAGTTATACATAATATAAAAGACATACACCTTATGGATAGCCTAATGGCTAAAGTCCGAGGAACTGTCTCACAGTTCGAGAAAACATGGGAGCCATGGACCACTAGCGACTTGACTGGAGAAACCGCTCAATAATAGAACAGGGCGAGCACTATGCACCCATACTGGACCAACCCTAGAGGAGTTCCTCTGGGACTGAGACGAAAACCCTGGGTGGACTGGCCCCGACGCCCTGCGCTCTGGTGACCCTAACCTACTGCCTTCCCTCTATCTCTGTCTCTTATAGTCTCTCTCTCCTTTAGTTCTACTGGTTATGGAAAATGGAGCGACCCCAACGCTCCACGCTGCAAATCATTTAGTTGACACATCATACTGTTGTAACACGAGACAACGACGGCATACTGCCAAGCTGGCCTGCCGGCCACTTCTTTTTCTAAGAGGCACTAAAACTAAGAGGTCTAAATATTTGGCATTGCGCCCCATGTAACGTAGGGTAGGCGCGGTCCATTATGCACTTATCGAAAATAGTATACCTCCTTCTCCAGCACTACACACTCCTAATTAACAGATTCTGGAAGGACCCCTTTGGGACAGAGATAGTACATCGGGGCTAACTGGTAATAGCAGCTTATGCCCTGATGACCCCACTCTTCTACCTTTCCTCTATTCTCATTCTTTTCTACTTACTCCTTCCACTAGTTACTGGGACTGTGGAACAGCCCCAAAGTTCAAAGTTGAAAATTACGTTGTGACAACATAATAATATTATAGGTGAGGAGATGAAGGCATCATGACAAACTGGTCTGCCGACTAACTTACCTGTTACAAGGCGTTGCACTGGGCTTACATACTGAGCATCGTGCCTTCCATAACGCAACACTGGCAATGTCTATTTTATGCTTTGACTATGTCATATGTCTTTGTCTTTGCTTTATTATTCTTTCAAAAATAAAGTTTTCAAAAAAAAAAAAAATGTCCCCTCCGGTAATGCTTTGTATTCTGGATCAGGTTCCGTTGCTGCTTAGGCTGTTTAGACGATTTTAAGATGTTTTTAAGATTTTTGTGGCAGGAGCTGCTAGCACATGCGTCTGGCCATCTTGAGTCAGGCCCCGCCCCTTCCTTTATATATTAGTGTCAGGTATACTAGACTCTCGCAAACTTCACTTGCTAAATTTATATGCCACAAATGTACCAGATGCTAGTTTCTGGGATACGATTGGTCAGATTATCAAGCCTATCCGGTCATATTTTCTTTTGAAAATGCAGTTTCATGCCCAGCAATAGATAGGAGTTCTAGGCCTGGAGAAGCTCGTTCCCGGGGATGGGGAAGTCAGGACAGATTGTTTTTTCAGTTTATTTCAGCTCATAAGCTTATTGATGTATGGAGGACCTTTTATTCATCTCCATATGGTACTTATTCCAGAATAGATATGTTCTTGTCAAATCCAGAATTTGTTTCATATCTTTATAACTCACAAATAAATAACTGGTCAGTCAGACCATGCTGATATTGCTGTATTTATAAAAGGACTATCTGCTAAATCAAGTTGCTCTTGGCACCTTAATACTTCTTGGGATCTCTTGGTTCGGAAAGAAATTTTGAAGGCTCTCTCAAATTATTTTTTAGAAAATAATACACCTGAAATCAGTAAAACTACCTTATGGGCAGCCCATAAACCTGTAATTATAGGAGAATTGATTAAAATAGCTTCCTATAGGAAAAGGAAAAAATCTGGATCTGGAAAATCATACTGGAATTTAAACACAAAACAGCCCCTTCGGAACAAACACTTCTGGACCTTAAAACTAGCAGATTAAAAAGTAAAACATTTTTAATAGATGATGCTGCCTGGCAGTTGAAATCGACACGTAGATATTTCTATGAGAGAGCGAACAGGATTGATGCTCCCCTGGCCAAATGCTTGAGGCCATGTATGCACTCTAAACCGATAACAGCCGAAGAGATCTTTGGAGCCTTTCGGGCAATACTTCTCTACACTTTATAATCAATTCCTGGATTTGAATGGGGAGGATCCGGAATGAGGGAATACGATTGAGAGAATATTTGGGTTCAGTGAACCTACCCCCTACCTTAGAATCATTAAAGACTAGGATCTCTATAGATGAGATTAAAGCAGCTATTTCTTCCATTAAGGGGGGTAAATCACCTGGCCTAGATGGATTTATTGGCAGCTACTATAAAACATTTCAGCAAACCCTTCTGCCACATTTGCAGGAGGTTTTGGATGAAATATTATTATTTTATTATTTATATAGCACCATCACATTCCGTAGCGCTGTACATTGGGTGGACTAACAGACATGTAATTTTAACCAGACAATTGGACGTACAGGAACAGAGATGTGGAGGGCCTGCTCAATGAGCTTACATTCTAGAGGGAGTGGGGTATAGTGACAGAAAAGGTAAAAGTATGGGTACGAAGTAGGTTGTTAGAAAAGTATTCATTGAGGGCTTAGTAGGTAATTTTTGACAGTTGCAGGAGAGGAGTCATGGGGGTGGGAGATAAAAATCTGCTTACAGTTTAACTGATATGCTTTCTTGAAGTGAGTTTTCAATGATTTTTTTTGAATGAGTGGAGACTGGGTGAAAGTCTTACGGAGAAGGGAAGGGCGTTCCACAGAAGAGGTGCAGCCCTGGAGAAATATGTCAAAGAGGAACTCTTCAAGCAGATCTGACAATGGCTAAAATCATTCTCTTCCCGAAAAAGGATAATGATTATATGGCACTTGGGAATTATAGACCCATTTCCCTTATAAATGTGGACACAAAAATAGTAGCAAAGGTCTTAGCTGTACGCCTATCTCCGCTTCTCCCCATTTTGATTCACCCAGACCAGGTAGGTTTTATTCCTGGAAGGCAGCTATATGAGACTACTCATAGAGTTGTAGGTCTTGCATGGCTTATGGAGACAGAAAGGCTGCCATCGATGCTGCTATCACTTGACGCAGAGAAGACATTTGATAGGGTTGCCTGGCCATATTTATTTTATCTATTACAGTCATGGGGTTTTCCCAAATCTATCATTGCCATAAATTGAGCTCTGTATTCTAATCCTCAGGCCTTAATACAACTTTCTGGTTCAGATGGGATCCCATTTAGAATATTTAATGGCACTCACCAAGGCTGCCCCTTTCTCAATCCTGTTCGCTCTTTTACTGGAGCCCCTTTTAATTTGCATTAGAGAAAGTGGAGCTATTCAGGGAGTCCGGATTGAAAGGGAGATCTACAAAGTCGTTGCTTATGGTGATGATATGTTAATTTCAGTAGTAAACCCTTGTGAACCTATTCTAGCATTGTTCAATTTGATAGAAAAATTGGGGGGAATTTGGGCTATAGAGTAAACAATACTAAATCTTGTGTGGTGCCCTTTCATATATCGATGCAAGAAGAAGATAATCAACTAAACTGTGACCTAGGGGGAAAATCCAAATAACAAGAACCATACATAACGTAATACTGTATTTTTAAGTAAACCAAATGTAAGATTCACAAGTGGCCACTCACACTCTTGTAGTAATTAAAAGACTTTTAAAAAGGATTTTTCTTTTTCAGCATATATGCCCTTTTGAATTGAAATCTTCCATCTCTATTGGTATCTCTTGAAATAGTTGAAAGGTGTGTGTGCTCAAGAGAGAAATATAACAAAATTGTAGTGCACATTCAGAAACCGAATAAAAAAGTATTTAATAACTTACATCAAGGTATAAAACAATTCTCACTGTCACCACTAGGGGTCCTACGCGTTTCGTCCGTATATAGGACTTCCTCAGGGACTTCAATGACCAGAAAACAATCAATAGTACAAAACCCTCCCCTCCTCCACCCTTTATACCTCCCCCCCAATTTCCACATAATCTTCTATCTCCTTCAAGTGTTTTGATTTTCGGTCCGGCATTTATGACGTCATTCTATGCGACTTTCATATGTTCATGCGTTCCACCGTGCGTTCCATTGCCGAAACCGGAAGTTCGCTGTAATCAGTCTGTTCTTTGATGTTCCACTCGGGAACAAGAATAATCAGTATATGTGAACCGGGGGTAGAGAAGAGAGGGGGAGGGGAATGTTATATTTAAATGGTCACAAATTACACTATTCTATAAAAGAATGGCACTACTTCATACTATACAATTAATAACTATCTAAATGAATAAAATATATAAATATATACGCATAATAAAATTTAAAATAAAAAACACACATAAAATTAAAATTTAAATAAAAATTAAAATAAATATTTTTATTTATATTTATTTTTATCTTTACATTTTTCTTTTTGTATTTTATATATTTTTTTTTACATATTTTTGTTTAATTATTATTATTTTTTGGTTCATTTCATTTGTGTGTTTTTTATTTTAAATTTTATTATGAGTATATATTTATATGTTTTATTCATTTAGATAGTTATTAATTGTATATCTATCACATTGGGAAGCAGATTTGGGCGAGGCCCTGGAGTCTGAGAGGATAGATATCTGGGAAACTGCATAAAAAATATCTATGTGTACTTTCTCAAGAACAGATGTTTCAAATCATGTTTAGATAGCATGCCACCCCTGTCGTCTTGCATAGAATTCGTAAGAACCCGACTGATCTGTGGGGTGTGAGGGGGTGGACAGAAAGGGACTTATCTCCATATGTGGTGGGAGTGCCCATAAATTAAGAGTTTTTGGAAAGAAATAAAAAATCTGGTGTCAACTATATTACAGGAAAATATTGAGCTAACTCCTTGGATCTTTCTATTATCTAAATCTATAACAAGCTTACCTAGATACTCGCAGAAATTAGTATACCTTATCACACTGGCAACACGATTATGCATTGCTACCGGTTGGTTAAAAACAGATCTATCATCAATGAGAGAGGTTTTTTTAAAAGTTGAGGAAAATTTTATTATGGATGATTTAACATTAAGAGTTGGACATTGGTCTTCTTCTTTCATCACAGTCTGGGATCTGTGCAAGGCCTATATAAAAAGGGGGATATAAATGGAGGTATATACTTACATGCATGTATAAGCCATGATAGAGATTTTTTTGGGGGGTGTGTCTTTTATTTAAAATATAAATGTAGAGGATTGTTGATATGACTTCTTAAATGAATGCAACAGATTATGCATTATTGATTGTATATTCCTCAATATTAAATAAAGAATTACAAAAAAGAAAAAAAAAATTACTTTGTACCTAGCAGTCAAAATAAAGCGTACAAAGAGGAAATATAAAACAATGTTTCTATTTGTCCTTCTCATTTGCTATGCATGGACTGAACTGGATTGTGATATAATTTGCTGAATCTAAATCAATAAATCTAATTCTAAAAGAAAATGGAGCATCCCTTAAAGAAGCTGATTTTAATACGTAATTTTCAATGTTTTATTTAGTGGTGACAGTTACTTTCAAAAATCTGGATCTTGTATTAATGAAAAACTTTAATTAACACATTAATAAGAATGCCTTATAGTAGTTGCTGCCAATTATAATGTTAAATTTTGTGTTTTTACATTGTTTTGTTGGTATAGGATACGTTTCTTATATATTAAGGAATAAAGGTGGTGCAGGGAATAAAAAATTATTTTCATAAATTATTTTTATAAATATTTTTTTGTACACATCTCACATCTCAAATTATGTTTATTCAAAACCATTTTTAAATGATGGGATATCACTAAGTAATAAAAATTTTAGTGACAAGTTATGCAATGTTTTTTTAAAAGACTGTAAGCTCGTTTGAGCAGGGTCCTCTTCAACCTATTGTTACTGTAAGTTTTCTTGTAATTGTCCTATTTATAGTTAGATTCCCCCTCTCAAAATATTTTAAAGCGCTACGGAATCTGTTGGCGTTATATAAATGGAAATAATAATAATAATAATAAAGAGTCTAGTATTACAATTATTTTATTTCAGTGAAACAAACCTACATTTACTTTGTGGACACTCTAAGCACCACAATATCGTTAGCTTAATTGCATGGTTTTGGTGTATTGATCATGCCTTTGCAGTTTCTCTACTCAATGCTCTGTCATTTAGGAGTTGGATTACTTTGTTTATGTACCTCTAGCCACAACTGTTCTTGAAAAACACAGCTTCTTTACACGTCCTGAAAAGGAGTCTGATTTATTTTTAACTTTGTTTATTGTGCAATGTGTTTAATTAGAAATGTCTTATGTCCTGCTCTGTTAATAAGCTGCTAGAGCCTGCAAAAAACCTAATTATTTGATTAACCCCTTAAGACCGGAGGGCGTACTATTACGCCCTATTTTAAGCGGCTCTAAACGCCACCGGGCGTAATAATACGCCCTCCGGTCTTTCTGTACTTACCTGGTCGCCGGCGATCCCACGCCAGCGATCGCGGTTTGGGGGACTCCCAGGGAGCCCCCCGCGGCACGTCCGACCCCCTGGCAGCCCCCCCGACCATGTGAGAGTGAGGTCCTTGCGAGGACCTCACAATCACATGGCCGGGATAGCTGCCTCCTGCATTGCCAGCAGGGGGGCTGCCTGTAATGACAGGAGGTCCCCCTGCTGGCTGAAAATAAAAATAAAATTAAAAAAAAGTTAAACGTTTAAAAAAAAAATTATATATACTTCCAGTACATACTCAAGTATAAGTCTAGTTTTTCAGCACATTTTTTGTGCTTAAAAACCCCCACTCGACTTATACTCGAGTCACTGTCTGTATTATGGCAACTTAGAGAGCCGCGGCCGTCAGAGCCATGGCAACAATCCGCGCGGCAACCAGACCAGCAGACTTACAGTGGCGCTGACCGGAACGTAGGAGAAGGGAGCTGACAGGAGCTGCAGGAAAGGTAAGTAAATGCTTCCTGCTGGCCCCCCCACTTCACAGCCCATGCCACTGAACCACCAGGGATTAAGATAGCCCCCCTCCCTGACCAGTTAACAAGCAGGGAGAGGGAACAAAAAAAATTAAAATAAAAAAATAATAATATTAAAATAAAAAAAATTTAAATAATAAAAATGCCCTCCCCCCACCCAGTTCACACACACTACACAAACACACACTCTGCATTATATACACACTCTGCATTATATACACAGAGTGTGTGTATATAATGCAGAGTGTGTGTTTGTATGAGTGTGTGTGTGTATATAATGCAGAGTGTGTGTTTGTATGAGTGTGTGTGTGTATATAATGCAGAGTGTGTGTTTGTATGAGTGTGTGTGTATATATAATGCAGAGTGTGTGTTTGTATGAGTGTGTGTGTATATAATTATAAAAATCACAGAATTTCATAGCCCCAAGATTTACCCTCGACTTATCCACGAGGCATAGCATATTTCACAATTGTTGGTCACAAAACTGCACTCGACTTATACATGAGATCGACTTATACACGAGTAAATACGGTAGATCATATATATATATATTTGTGTTCGGGGCATTCTCATTGTACATGAAAATATGCTTTTGGAGAGAAATAACATAACAATGAAATAGTCGGTTGAGGTGTGCTGAAACCGATTTATGCTGTAGGCCAGTAAATAAAGTGGGCCCACATAAAGGAAAAGTATAACTAAAGGGAGTGGAGGGTGGGGCTGTTCATCTAGACCAACGAAGGTAAGTAAGGGAAGGGGAGAGTCCCTTAAGTAGGTCTATAGCCCCTCCCACAACCTCAGGCCATGCCTTCCAATTTGTGTTCGGGGCATTCTCATTGTACATGAAAATATGCTGTTGGAGAGAAATAACATAACAATGAAATAGTCGGTTGAGGTGTGCCGAAACCGATGTATGCTGTAGGCCGGTAAATAAAGTGGGCAAAAAGATAATTCAAAGATAACATTTAATCGGAAAACATAATACATTCTTTACATATTTAAGTAGACATTTTAATGAAAGCCCTCCTAATCTCTTGGTCTGGGTTAGGAATGTAAGTGGTGTAAGCTGAAGACTTCCAGCGACCTAGAGTCTTAATTACGTGTGCTGGTATGTCTTGGCTAGATGCCGTGGAGGCTGCTCCAATTCTGAAGGAGTGCCCCGAGTAGTTGCTAGGGTTGAGACCAAGTCGGGTGATAAGCCTGCGGACATACAGCATGAATTTTGCTGTGGTTAGAATTGTGTCGTGTAGCTTAAGTAGTGGTTTTGCGCTGCGTGACGGCGTTGTAGCTAGGAAAACGTCTAGTTCTTGTACCGGACACCACTTGTTCCCTGTGGCGTAGTAGGTTATGTGCACAGGTTCCCCCATCTGACTTGTTTTGGTTTTAGGTAGGGTCAGAATGTAGTAGTTGGTGTGTTTCCTGAGGAAGGAGGTGAGGAGGCACCCTTGGCTATGGTGCTGGCCACTAATGGTGAATTCTCTAGGTCTAAGAAACCCATAGAAGGCTAGATAAATAGCCATTTTAATGACCGCATTCGTATGGGGTTCAAATGGAGCCTGGTCGAGAAGGTCGGACAAGGATTTGAACAGTTTTATGTCAATGGCAAGTCTCTTGGGAGTCGCAGGGCCGTCTGCTTTGGCTATGCCTTTCAGTAGTGTTCGGATGGGGTAAGAAGTTAAGAAACCTGTGTGGTTAGGGAAGGAGCAATACATATGGTGTTGTATGCCCGTGAGGTAAAGCTTAATGGTATTATGTGAAAACTTAAATTTAAGGTGGCAAAAAGATGCAAAAGCTATCAGTGAAGAAACCTCGAACCAGTCGTCTAGGTGATGGTCAGACATGAATTGTTTGTACAAGTGAAAAGCTCTGTGATACGCGTGTTGGGTGCTGGTGGATAAGGCTAATTTGGTAAGAGCATTACTGTGCTGAAGTAACACGAGCTGCCGAGGGTAGGGACAGTTTGAAAGCCTGAAATTGAAAGCGAGAGAGTTGGTCAGCTGCCGTGTTGTAGATGCCAGGAACGTGAGAGCATACAATGGGGAACTGATGGGTGGCTGCCAGCCATGTCAATTCCTAAGGAAACTCATAATCGTCAAGGAGGAAGAGCGACCTTTGTTGATAATGTGGCATATTGCCAGGTTGTCAGAGAAGCAGCGTACAGACTGACCTTCCCATAACCTACACCAAGTGACGGCTGCCGCAACTATAGGGTATATTTCAAATAGGGCTAAGTTAGTGTGGAAACCCTCAATGCCCTGTGTTTCTGCTGGCCAGGTCCCCCAGAGCCATTCTGTGCCGAAGATGGACGCATATCCTGCTGAAGACGCTGCGTCTGTCCAAATGACCGGTGACTGTGAATCAAACTGCGGGAGGAACATGCTCTTCCCATTCCATTCTGAGAGGAATTAATACCACATCTGGAGGTCAGCGGTCGCAGGACATTCTAAGGATATGCGGACATGGTCGTTGGTAAAAGTGGGGAACAGGGCGAGGAGCCTAGAAATGAAAGCCCTGCCCTGGGGGATTATGCGCATGGCGAAATTTAGGGAACCCAGAAGTGATTGTAGTTCTTTACGAGTTGCAGGACCCCCTGTGCATGTAGTGGTTAATATCGTGTAGGATGTGAACTACCTTACCTTTAGGGAGGCTGGCCATCATAGTTGATGAATCCAGCAGGATACCCAGAAAGTTAATCAGTGTATCTGGACCTTCGGTTTTAGTAGGTGACACGGGAACCCCAAGGGATGTGAATAGTTGGTTGCTTTGTCTAGGCTACGTGGGGGGGAGGAATTGGACTCGATGAAAAGAAAATCATCTAAGTAGTGTATCACATTGGGGCACCTGCAGGTATTGAGGAGAAGCCAACACAAAACTTCTGCAAACATGTCAAAAATCCTGGGACTGCTTTTGGCACCGAAAGTGAGCTTTGTAAAAAGTAGTAGGAGTCTTGCCACTTAACGCCATGCAGGTGCCACAGAGAGGGGTGTATAGGTAATAATTTAAACGCATTCACAATATCCGTCTTGCTGAGCCAAGCCCCCAACCCTGCTGATCTGATAGCTGCCGTAGCGTCGTCAATAGTGGAGTATTGTAGGGAAAATTCCTTAGATGGAATCAATGAGTTTAGGCTGGGGATGGCGGAGGAGTGGGGTGCGGATAGGTCAATGATAAGTCTTAACTTATCAGAATTTTTGCTGGAAACCAGCCCGATAGGGTTAGTTCTCCAGCTGGAAAAAGGGGGGATTGACAAAAGGCCCAATGACAAATCCTTGGTCCACTTCCAGTTGTAACAGTGTGGTGACAGCCGTAGGGTGGTTAGTGGTGGACTGTGAATTGTGACACTCTAATACCCCCGTTGGCATGTAAATGATCCCTGTGTGAAACCCCTGGGTGAGACCCGTACATAAAAAATCAACAAGGTGTTCAGAGGGGTGAGTGGATAGCATACATGCAAGTAAAGGAACGTTTACCGGAGACAAATAAGGTTTCTAGTACATTTTATTAGGGCATGTGCCCTGAAACAATGTGAGCACACGTGTAATAAGCGGCAGGCGCTGTAGCCGCATGAGCCTTCGTTGAAATTATTGCAAATCTAAGATTTGCCTAGATACACCACTGCACGACCCAGTTTCTCTGGTCTGTTTCTCAGATTTAGCAGGATGATGCAGGGGTGGGCAGGGAGCGCTGTCTGGACAGAGCGGACAGAAATTAGCTGCATGAGCGGGAGATGTACATATGGCACAAGCTGGGGTCCTAAGACCTGCGAAATGTCTGAGGAATAGCTCATTGTTCAGTTGGCTCCAATCCATCTGGATGCTGTACTGAGACAATGTGGCTGACACTTTTGATGAAAAGGACTTGTGGTAATCGTAAAAGGTATAGCCACCATACTTATTACCAAGGTCCACCAGCTTGTGCAAATATAGATCGAGTTCCTCCCTTCTATTGGGATGAGCGGTGCACAAAATATCTCTGAAAATACCGAAAGCCAGCACGAAATCAGGAATGGCAAGTTCCTTACTGAGTCTGGGGTCTCTGGCTTTTAAAACCACCGAGATGTCCCCATAGTCATAAGACCGGTTCTCCACAATATCCTGGGAGACAATGAGCAGTGAGACTAAGTTAACGTCCTTGCCTTCCAGGATGTCCTTTTTAAGATTTGCCGGCACCATGTGTGCAGGGTTAATAACGTGTGCGGCTGCTTTTGTGGCTATAGCATTACCCGGTATTGCTGTGGGTATGGCGGGAATTAATTCGGACAGAGGTCCTGGAGGTTGCACGGGGAAGCTATGGGCTTCTAGCCTCTCCAGCCTGTCGTTGACCTTCCCCATAGAAGAGACTAGGGAGGCAACCATAGCATGGAGAGTCGGGTCTTGGGAGTTGCTTGTGCCTTCCCCCGCGTCTGTATTAATGGTATTGCTTCTTAGCAGCTTGAACAGTTCTGCTTTCCTGGCAGTAGCTGGGAAAGGAATGCTGCGTTTGCGTAATTCCGCAGTGATGCGGGGGATAGCCCATGATCTGATGGACGAGGGGCTTCCCGTGCCGCTCTTGCGGGTCGGAGTAAGTGACCTAGCAGGGGTGCTAGGGATTGACATATCCTCAACCTCATCTGGTGGTAGGGACATACTGAAAAATATATCAGATAAGTATGGTAATCAGGGTTGGGAGTTGACGGATGGCTAGCTAGTGCCAGATGGCGAAAAGATTATACTAGGTTTGTGACAGGTGAGGCCCTGCTAGTGCCACGTGGCTAGAGAGGCTCTATCTATGAGTTGGCGCGAGGGGTGGGGTAGCCTATTCGTTGATGGGTCGTTGGCCTCTCCATGCGTGTGAGGGGGGAGGGGGGTTTGGTGGTGACTGGTGTCGCCCTCTCTATATAATTGCGAGGCGGCTAACTATGATTTGGCCCGAGGGGTGTATAGTACCTCGAAGTGGAGGATGGGAGTTGGCCTCGCGGACCGCTAGGACTATTTAAAAGGCCGTGTTGACAATAATGTGACCCAACATACCTGCAGAAAAATGAGGCCTGGCTTCTGTATGAGAAACACAGGGTCTCTTAAGTAGGGAGGGGGCTTAGAGTAGCTGACCCGTCCAGGGGTATCCGCCTGGAGGTATAGGAATTTAAGATAAGGTACTCTTGTAAGATATACGCATAAGACTGTAGAGCTGAGAGTAGTAAGCGTTTAGGGGGTGACTGCAGACACAATGCTCCCAGTAGCCATGTTCCTTTAATATTACCAGGGATTAATTATCTAAAAACTTTAAAGTTTTACTACTAACATAATGCAGATATAATATTAAATTATCTAATCCCCCGTTAAGTAATGCATTTATTATTATTATAACTGATAAGCATGAAGTACTTATGTATATAACAGGATTCTACTTGCAGTAATTAAATAATTAAATATATAAACCAACACAGCATTTAAATAATTAAAAGGCATTTATGTTGTATACAGTAAATTGCTGAAGCTAGGAGTCAGCCAGCACCAGACCAGTACCCACACCCTCCCTCCCTTTTTTTTTTTTTTTTAACCTGTGAAAAAATAAACCGGATTACCCATACAAGCTGCCCACCTCCCCCCTTTCCTGTGTAATGCCGGCGGGAATAGACCGTGCTTCCCCCTGACAACCAGCCCACCGTTCCCCACAATCTAATGAAAAAGTTGCCGGCCGGCGGGAACAGGGACTCCAACGGTAATGGAGTCTATGTGCCTGTTCCCGACCTTGCCGTGCTGCCCGGTGAAAATAATGCCCCCCTGCTCACCTCCCCGTCGTGCTGGGGAAGCCGGTCGGCCTGTGGAGCTGGTAGTACCGGGGGAGCCGGTAGTGCCGGGGAAACCCGGATACTCACGAGTGTGACGTTTGAAACTGGCGCCGCGTCTATACATACACACACGTACAGTGTATAGATGTATTTTACTATTATATATATAATAATATATATATATATTAATATCAAATTACACGTAGACTGATACTGATTAACTATATATATAATTATTGTTATATATATATATTTATATATAATATAAAAAAAATTAAATATGTAAATACGTAAAAAAAAAAATAATTAAAATATATAGATGTGTGTTATTTCGTTCTGTTTTCTGATATTAATATATATATATATATATTTATATCAAAATACACGTAGAACGAAATAATATATATATCTATATACATAAATATATACGTATATATCACTATATATATACCTATATATAAATAATATTTAAAAAAAATTATATATATATATATATATACATTCACATATCTATATATATATATATATATACACATTAATTCTACATATATATTTATGTAATAATTTTACATAATTGGGTATCTTAATTAATTACAATTAGCGGGACCTGCCTGACAACCCATGCCGAAAGTAAAGGGAATTTAATTTGGTAGCGCTATATTTAACCCTATAACTTTCCAAGACACCATAAAACCTGTACATGGGGGGTAATGTTCTACTCGGGGCACTTCGCTGAACACAAATATTAGTGTTTAAAAACAGTAAAATGTATTACAACTATGATATTGCCAGTAAAAGTGAAGTTTTTTCCATTTTTCACGCTCAAACAGCACTTACACAGACGATATTATTCCTGTGATACTTTTTGCTGTTTTGAAACACAAATATTTGTGTTCAGCGAAGTCTCCCGAGTATAACAGTACCCCTCATGTACAGGTTTTATGGTGTTTTCAAAAGTTACAGCGTCAAATATAAGGCTTGTGTTTAATTTTTTTCACATTAAAATTCGCCAGATTGGTTAGGTTGCTTTTGAAACCCTATGGTAGCCCAAGAATGAAAATTACCCCTATGATGGCATACCATTTGCAATAGTAGACAACCCAAGGTATTGCAAACGGGGTATGTCCAGTCTTATTTGGTAGCCACTTAGTCACAAACACTGGCCAAAATTGGCAGTTTTTGCATTTTTCACACACAAACAAATACTAACGCTAACTTTGGCCAGTGTTTGTGACCAAATGGCTACTAAAAAAGACTGGACATACCCCATTTGCAATACCTTGGGTTGTCTACTATTGCAAATGGTATGCCATTATGGGTGTAAATTTCATTCCTGGGCTACTATAAAGTCCCAAAGGCAACGTAACCAATCTGTCGAATTTCAATTTCAAATGTAACGTGCTATATTTGACCCTGTAACTTCCCAAAACGCCATAAAACCTGTACATAGGGGGTACTGTTTTACACGTGAGACTTTGCTGAATACAAATATGTGTATTTTATTGCAGTAAAAGCAAACAGTATTATGACATTGACCGTTAAAATGTCATGTAGAACTAAAAAAATCTAAAAAAATCTTATTTTCTCCCATTTTTTTCATATTAAATTATGTTTCATAGCTAAATATTTGATATTAAATGAAAGCCCTGTTTCCCCTGAATAAAATGATATATAATAAGGGTGGGTGCATTTAATATGAAAGAGGTGAATTACGGTTGGACAGACATGTAGCGCAAATGCCAGGTTTTGTTTACATTTTTTTTCGTTCACAACGTGTACATTTGGCTCTGTCCTTAAGGGGTTAAAGTTCAAATAACACAGCAGGAGATAAGAACTTATAGAGTGAATGCACTGTGCCATAGGATCTGCTGGAAAATGAAACCATTTTTTTTTTCATGTAGGCTGTGTGAATAATGTCCAGAGGAGATGTGACAAGAGCTGCATAAACAGAAACAAAAGCGATTCAACTCCTAAATGACATAATATTTAGCCCTGAAACTGTAGAGGTATGATAAAACCACTTTAATTTAATGTCTTTCATAAATTAAAGTGCTGTTATTGCTGAGAGTGCCCCTTTTTCCCAATGCAGAATATAAATGCTTATTTTGTATGTATACTTTTTGTCTATTCTTTCAACAAAAACAGAAATATTATACCTTTCTTACATTTCAATCATCATAGCAAATGTATTATGGAATTAACATGATGAAAATGTCTGCTGATTGATTTTACCAACTGCTTTAGTCCTATAGAAAATACATGCCATGCTTATATGCAATATTACTACAATCTGTTTTTTTTTTTTTTTTAATTCTTTATTTTTTCATAGCCAATAATAAAGTGCACATTTGTGACATAGCCAAGGCTTTCGCAGAAGCCGCTGTATGAATGTATAATCTTGTCAGGGTATAGGCTTACGCAGAAGCCGCAATAGAGGTACATACGTTAATACTTGTATAGGCTTACGCAGAAGCCGTTTTCAAGTGGTTCAGTGGTATCAAGATGAAGAGCAATAATCTACAACTGATGTGCATGTTTACTAGTGCTTCCAGTCTCGTCAGTGGTTGATTTGCTATTTTGTGTTTTAGCACAGCACCTCTACGTGGCTGTCGATCGGGTCTTGGCTTGAGTACACATGTCACTTTGATTGGCATGGTATTAGACAGTTGTTAACTAATAATCATTTAACATTTCTAAATATTCCTATAGGTAGAACATATATGAAACTAAACCTGGCGTTTAGTGATACGGTAGGTCGGTGTATCCGTGCCCGCAGCCC